TGCATTTAATTAGGAAATATTTATCTATAAATACAGGAGTTTTTAATAAAAAGTCTTAGTTCAATTTTAACCTATATAACTATTTAACATGAAGCCAAAAGTGATTGTGCTACTTACTGTTATGTTACCAGCATATTTATGCTTTCTTAGCAAAGTCAATTATGTAAATGGTTATTTAGATCTTCATAATAGACTTGCTAATGACGCTCAAACTTGCTTGAATAAAATGGACAAACTATGTTCAAAAGATATTTTAATTGGCCAGGGTACGAGTTACTATTGTTGTATTCTATGGGATATCATGGACTGTTACCAGAATTATTTCAAGGTAGGTTTATTTTTACAAATATCTTACAAATTAAAAAATTATCATTTTTTATACAATTGCTTATATTTCATAGTCATTGTGCACTGAGGATGAACAATATGACCTGGATACTGAGTGGGATGGCATTTATCTAGATCACTCTGGACACTCATATACCCAATCTGAGTGTAATGGTGACGGTTATACAAGATATGTGTCCAGGAATGTTTGTAACTTTTAAAAAATTTTAAAATACAATTGAATTAATTTTCTTGTGTAATTATTTTATAATAATTGGGAAATATTATTTTTAAATATATTTTATATAATATTAATAGTATTTCACAATTATGATAATATATTTTTGGTTAGATATTGTTTTAAGTAGGTTTGCGCCCAAAAACGCATACAACTACATTTATTATCTTAAGTTGGATTACAATTTATTTTCTTTGTTAAAAGCTTAATAATAAAAGTCAATTACTAATGTATTACAATATTATTTATTTTATTCTAGATTTGTATTAATATTTTGTATTAATTATTTTCTGAAAGGTATTTTATTACTTTATTAAAAAATATTTTTAAAAATAAAGTTAATAATTTAATATAAAATAGCATATTTAATACATTTATAAATATTGTAAATGTCAATTATTTACTGATACCTGAAACCACTTTAAATAATTTAATAAAAGCATATCATGTTTACTAAATAGCTTTAATCGGTTTTATAAGATTATTTAATATTATATTACTTGTAGGCAATAATTATATAATACCAGATTAATTATGAATAATTCCAAAGTTTAGAATGTGATATAATTATGATTATGAATATGATTATATTTGCATTAATTGATTTAAATCACTTGAATTCTATAGTTATATAAACCAGCAAAATTAATTATATTTATTGCTAGTTATATATTTATATTTAGTGTTAGTTCATTATAGGTGTTATAAATTTAATTTATTAAAATGACTTTCTATATTAAGAATATTGATTCAGGGTTAGTACTGGATATAAAGGAAGGGAAAAAGGAGCCATACGGCGAAATTATAATGTATCATTACCATGGTGGCAAAAATCAGCTATGGACATATAGAAATGGCATGATATACAGCTTACACAACGAGTATGTTATAAAAGTTATTAATTTAAAAATATATTTATTAATTGGTAAACATATTTCTGAAGCCTTGTGTTGGACCTGGATCGGGAGCACGGCAATACCATAATAACTTATCCGGCTCATGGTGGTTATAATCAACAATGGAAATTTAATAATGATAATACAATTCAATGCAAAGTTGGGCATGTATTAGATGTAGCATTCAGTAATTCAAATGCCGGTACTCGGGTGGTAGGCTGGGACAAACATGGTGGCGCTAATCAAAAGTTTGCCAGGGTCTATATATGAGACATGGCTTAAAATGTTTACAAAATGTATCAACAATTTGTTAACCTGTTTTAAAATTTTTTCATCCAAAACTAAAATTATTTATCAATCAAAATTAAATTGTTTTTTATAATTAATTAAATAAATGTGAATTTTGGTTTTAAAAATTATTAATTTAAAATTACCTATTTATTCAAATTAAAAAAATAATTTTCAGAAAAATATGTAACAAAGGATGCTTGTAATTTTTAAAAATGTAGTAAAATAAAGTAAACTTACTGATCTTAATTTTATAATTTAAAGGTTTAATTTTAGCTTATTTATCGATTTTTTGATATGATTATTTATATAATTTAAATTTTAAAAAAAAACTTTATTTACATTTATTTTACTAATAACCTTCAATTAAGCGATTTTACTCGTTTTAAATTCGCCATTTAAGTGCTGTATAAGTAATATGATAATTTATGATAAATAAAACTATGACTATAACTTTAACTAACTATGATAAATATAAGTAGTATAATCTATATAAATATTAATGTCAACATGATATAAAAATTGTGAAACTTATACTGCTATTTAATTTCATTTCATTAACATAAAAACTGTAATAAGTGATAGCTGCTAAATATTAACCTACAAAACAACAATGCCATTTTATATTAAAAATATTGATACTGGGTTAGTTCTTGATATTAAAAATGCCAACAATGAACCAAACGGCAAAATTATCATGTACCCTTACAATGGTGGTAATCATCAACTATGGGAGTATAGAAATGGGATGATATACAGCTTACACAACGAGTACGTTATAAAAGTTATTAATTAAAAAATATATTTATTAATTGGTAAACATATTTTTGTAGCCTTGTGTTGGACCTGGATCAGTGGCACGGCAATACCATAATAACTTATCCGGCTCATGGTGGTTATAATCAACAATGGACATTTAATGATGATAATACAATTCAATGCAATGTTGGACACGTATTAGATGTAGCATTCAGTAATCCACATGCCGGTGCTCGGGTGGTAGGCTGGGAAAAACATGGTGGCGCTAATCAACAGTTTGTCAGGGTCAATGTCCCCGATAAGTGGGACAATGTCAAGGATAAAAGTGAAAAGTTTTTAAATAATTAAAAAATACTGAAACATTATGTAACATGCTAAATTTTGGCAGTTTATATTTTTATTTAAATTACTTAATTATGTTTTACAATAATTTATGTTATAAAAATATTATTATTATTATCACCATTAATGTTACAGTCATACTGCACCCTCCTATTATCAATGTTTTATTTGCTTTAATATTTGCCAATAGATATTGTCTGTTTAACCGATGACCATGCTGCTGAAATTGTTGGGCACAGGCCTCCAGTGCATCGGCCCTATCCCTTAAGTCCGATAATCTGTAATCCCTTTCCAGTACTCTATTAAAATTATCTCGCATTAAAACTAAGACATCATCTACCTGTTCAATTAATTTATATATTAATTATGAGTAAAAAGAATTTAAGGCAATAATTCTTTTAAATAATATTTTAATAAAGTTAACATACCTGAGCTTGAACATGTTGTAATTGGATTGCATCGGGGTCATCCATTTAGTAACATACCAATACGTATGCGGGATACT